CCTCATAAACGAATAGATTCGGTTGCGTTTTCATCGTTTCGCTATTGAGAAGGCAGTTCTAAAACAGATTATTTGTTGATGACTTCACTTCTTGAATTGCATCAGCTGCCAAATGGGCAGTGGAATCATAGTCACTACGGTACCTGCTCTTTGTCCTCCGGATACCACATTGCCGACATACATGTGAAGCCATAGCGTTTCAGAGCCTAATGCAGAAAATTAAATTTCCGAATTAGAAAGATATTTGGGTGTTACGTTACGGGGGAGTGAGCGCTACTACTCCTCTACTCAAATCCGCAGATCCCACCCTACCTTCCACCCCCCCCCCCCCCGCCCACCCTCCGTCCTTCTCGAGGCGGCACCGTTTAGTCTCTACTCGACTGCTCACTTATAAAAGGGGAACCTAGCAGGTCAAAGAGTGGTCGAATCTCTGGTTTGGCTGTTGACTCGTTCCCTTACGCAGATGGTGAGAGGCGCGCTTTGACACTAGTGCGGTGGACTCCGGTCGTTTAACTCTCCTCTTACCAATGTAAAACTTTTCTTCCCCCCAGCCTCGGCCTCAGAACAGCACAGACCATCGTGATCGCAGCGGCCTGGTTCGCCGCTCCCCAGCAACGTCAGCGGCGCGCTTCGTCTGTGGGGCGATTCGCTAAACTCAATGAACACGAAGAGCACGCCATTCATGTGCGCCTTCTTGACGAAGTAGTTTTACCAATGGCCTTATTCCATCTATCCTAAACTTCGGGAACTTAGGGGCATCACAAATTTACATTACAGAGAGGGGACTGTTCATGAAATGTAGTCAGTAAGCCTAGTTATAAAAATTGAATTTCTTACCGCATAACATGAGGAGATACACTGTTCGATGCCGTAAGCATCTTCGACCTGCTCCACAAATCCTGCCAGAATGTGATTGGAAACACCAGCCAGATGTGTCGACCTTCCTGTAATACAGATTCGGCACTTATGCTATGTTGCCGCTGCCACTACTTTAAAGGAAGAGTTAGGCTTGTTGTCGATTCGCTAGCAGTCAAGCAGGGTTCAGACTTCTCGAGAACGCGCATTGACGCGCTGTAACGCCTCGTCGACGCGCTACCGCTGCATACTGCCAGGGGTCGACACGCTACCTCACCTTTTGAGGCGTAGATGGTGTAGTGGCAAGTAGCACGCTCACCACGCGCGCGAGGTCTGGGAATCGAACCCTCGGAATGGCTTCTGCACAGGACAACTAAGCCTTTTATCCTCCGGGGACGGTGAACTGGCAGCACATTCGGCTAGGATAACTACTACTGACACTGACTTGTACATTGGCTGGCCCCCGCAAGTGATTGTATGGGCCACATCGCATTCAAGAAGCCACTACGATTCGGAATGGAATAAGAATGCGTGCAGAATTCCAAAAGGGATCGACCAACGGCGAGGACTTCACTCTTTTATCCATTCTATGTTCCGGTGGAGAGTATGGGGAAGATAGGAGGGTAGTAGACTGGGAGAGAGTATTGGAAGATAGGAGGATAGCAGACAGCTGGTACAGTATGGGGAGATAGAAGGGTAGCAGACAGACTGCTGTCATAGAGTATGGAGAAGTAGTAGGAGTATGGCGAAGTTGGAGGGTCCCTCCTGGACGCTGCTGGTCGATGGTGGACGCTGGTGGACGCCGCTGGTCGCTAGATCGGTAGCTATACTTCCCTAGCCGTCGAGCCGCAGAGTATGAACGCAACCTTAGAGGCGTCCAGCGCTCGTTGTCGCGTGCGCCTCTGCGGCCTACCAAATGAATGTGGCTTATTATCATGAGGTACTTATTTATCATCGTGATCCTAATCATTACCTCTGAACCAATATCTATCAACACAGG